AAAATGAAAACGAAAATTTGAAAATTTTAACCAAGCTGATTGACCAAATTGTTTCAAAAAACTGAGTATCGTTTCATAAAAATTTTCAATATCAAATTAATTCAATTATCAAGATTTAAATTTCAAATTGTTTCAAAAAGCTCAATAAAGCGGAAGGTAAGCGTTGAGGTAAGAATCTATCAAAAAAGAGGCCTCCGAAAATATGCTGTAAATCCTTGGCAGCCTAAGGGTAATCAAATTCAAATTCAAATTCAAAAAAATGTTCAAAAAACCCGATAAAGCTGAAGGTAGGCGTTTTGGTACGCACCTCATCAAAAATGGTTCACCAAGACACGCATCTTTAATAGCTTGAGAGCAATCAAAATGATCAAAATTTTATCAAGAAAAATTGAAAAAATCGTATGAAAATTTTATGTGAAATAAGAAACGTTTTGACAGATGATTTGTATCAAAAACTTGAAAAATTATCAAACTGACTTATTGTTTTGCTGAACTGATTTTCCAAAATATTTCCAATATCGTCAATATTATCCCTAAATTCCACACACCAAATACTTTACACAGATATACTGGATTATCTGTTAACAACATCATTGCAGTTATAACCATGGAGCTGATGCAGGAAACAACAACAACCTGATCCGGCCCGCCAGCATCATCTCGAGCGAGGGGATGTAAATAATATTTCCAAAACATGATTTGTTTTGGAATGTTATTGATTGATTACATGTCCTAAATACCATCGTTTGGATGTTTTGTTAATCAACTAATGAATGTTGTAGCCTAATGAATGTANATAAAATCCAATTGCAAAGAAGAAAAAGAAAAAATCTTTTCTTGCTTCAAATCTTCAAATATCTTCGTCTTCAAATCGTTGTCTAATATCTGTTTAACGCGTTCGCTACCAGCGACGCATATATGCGTCGTTTATTTGCTGTAGTTCTATGTGTTTTTCGAAATCTCCGGTAGCGAACGCGTTAATGTTATTTTTTTCTTCTTCTTTTGAAAAATTTTACTCTTTTTTTTCTTCGCTTCTCTTTTCTTTATCTGTTTTTTCGTTGAAAAAGAAGAAGAAAAATTCCTAGCTTAACAGTTCATTGATGTTTCCTTCTTTTTTTCTTGTCTGATTTGAAAAAAAAATCAAAAAATAAAGAAGCAGCAAACATACACACAGAAAGATACACAAAGTTTCGTTTCGTTTTTCTTCAAAAAGGTGATTTTTTTTGCATTAATAATTCCAATGTATCAATGATGATGAAGTTGATTCAATGAAATGAATTTTTATTATTTACCTAAGGGCACGCAAACAAACAAACAAACAAACATTGAATGATAACAATCAAAAGTTTAAAAAAAAAATCACTTAAAGTATTGAACAAACAGTAATTAATTCTTGTTGATCAAGAAAAATAAGGGAAGTTGAAAATATCGATAGTATCGATAGAATCGAATTGGAATTTGAAGATGAAAAATGATTTTTTTGAAATTTTTTCTCCCTTCACATCACCCAGGTATTTATATACGGAAAAATCGATATTTCGTAACCAGAAAAACAAACAACAAAAAAATCTTATCAAATACATTTTACTGTTGTTTTTGATTTGATAATCAAGTATTTAAAAAAAAAGCTGTCTGTTTTTTTTATTACAAAATTTTTACAACAACAAAACTTTTCCAGCAGCATTTCATTCGTCATCAAAATGATCCTATAATTTTTTTTTTCTTCTGGATTTTCAATGTCCAGTAAAACAACAACAACAACGACTACCACAACATTTGATTGCTGGCTATATGTTTTGGTTGTTGTTGTTGATGTTATTTGTTGGGTAATCAATTTTTTTGCTGTTTGGATTTTTCATTTCTCTCTCTCTCTCTCTCTCTCTTTTTCTCTCTCTCTCTCTCTCTCTCTCTCTCTCTCTCTTTGGAAAACACAAGCGATGCAATATTGTCGTTGTTGATGATGGTGATTTTAATGAATTTAATGAATGATAATGATGGCGATGGTCGATGGTGGTGGAAGTGGATAACGATAATGACGATGATGATTACGATATCAGCCATGTTTTTGGAAATTTTTAAATTTTTGCCTGATGGCTATTTTGCTATTTTGTTTTCTGGCTAGAATTATTTCTGGTCATTTTTAAAAAAATCAAATTTCATTGCAATGGACAGGGGAAAAAGAAATTATTATTGCCTGTTTTCCCTCTCTCTCTCCAGTTTGTGACCCCCTTCATTATCCAAGAAAAAAAAATCACAAGATCAATGAATAAAATAAGAGAAAGTTTCGAGAAGTTTTTAGAAATTTTTCGCAGGTTTTTTTGTCATCAATGATATTTAACGGAAAATTCCTTTAGGTTTTTTTTTTTGCTTTTTTTTGATTGATAAAACAAAAATTACGTCATTTTAATTCGAGGAAAAAAGTGTTTTTTTTTCTGAATTGGAGATAGGATATGAGAATTTGTATGTAAAAGGATATAAAAAATTCAACAAATTTCTTTCGTTTCTGGTTTGTTATCATCAGATCAGTAAAATGTTAATCAAGGTTAGCATATGGATGATTTTTTGTATAAGAATTGACGTCATCAATTAATTTATTCAAGCAAAAAAAAATCAAAAATTCAGATCAGAATTTCCCAAAGCAAACATGCTTTCTTCCGGAAAATTTTCCCAGCAATTTCAACTCTTTTTTGTTGGTGGAAAATTCTACATACATGATACAGGGGATTTTAAAATTCATATTACTCTTTTTCCATAGGAAATGTCTAGAATTTTTTTTAGAAAGGATTTTTCTTTTTCTTTTTTTTGGCGGTAAAAAAATTTGAATTTTTTTTTTTGTTTGGAAGTTTTTTTCAAACACTAACGACATCTAGTGGACGGAAATTTTGCTATTGTGAACATGTGTGATGTGTTGTTTTCAAGTGGATCGAAATAGAAAAGAAAAAAATCCAATTTTTTCGAATGTCATTTTTTTTCGATAAATTCGATTTGAACGTCAGCTGGATCGCGATCGATACGAAAAACGAGTGAAAAAAAACCGATAAAAGAAAAGGTATTTAAAATCAATAATTTTTGTCTGTTTTTGTTTGTTTGTCTTACATTTTCTTTTCTAGATTCGTTGATTGAATGATTGATTTGGATTTTTTTGTAAGTTGAAGAAAAATAAAATTTAAAAAAAAACGATGGCAAACATAGCATCAATAATAGCAATGATAATATTGATCATATCAATGGCATTATATCATTCTGTACATAAAATAGATGAAGGTCATACAGGTGTTTATTATCGTGGTGGTGCCTTATTAAAAGAAACATCTAGTCCGGGTTTTCATTTAATGATACCATTTATAACAACATATCGTTCAATACAGGTTACATTACAAACGGATGAAGTAAAAAATGTACCATGCGGTACATCAGGTGGTGTTATGATATATTTTGATCGTATTGAAGTTGTTAATATATTACATCCATCAGCTGTATCGGATATTGTTCGTAATTATACTGCCGATTATGATAAAGCATTAATATTTAATAAAATTCATCATGAATTAAATCAATTCTGTTCAAGTCATTCATTACAAGAAGTTTATATTGATCTTTTTGATCAAATTGATGAAAATTTACGTACGGCAATACAAAAAGATTTAAATGAATTTGCACCCGGTCTTACTGTACAAGCTGTACGTGTAACAAAACCAAAAATACCCGAAGCAATAAGAAAAAATTATGAAATAATGGAAGCCGAAAAAACTAAACTAATGATATCGATACATCGACAAAAAGTTATTGAAAAAGATGCCGAAACTGAACGAAAAAAAGCTATTATTGAAGCGGAAAAAAATAGTCAAGTTGCACAGATTATAAATGAACAAAAAGTTAATGAAAAAGAATCGATGAAAAAAATGTCAATAATTGAAGATGAAATGCAATTTAATCGACAAAAAATGCATGCTGAAGCAGAATTTTTTACAAAAGCAAAATTAGCTGAAGCAAATTCCATATTATTAACACCAGAATATTTAGAATTGAAACGTTATGAATCGATTGCAATGAATACAAAAATGTATTTTGGTACAAATATACCGCAAATGTTTGTATCGGAATCATCTGTTTCATCATCATCGTCAACGATGGAAAATCATACAGCAATGAATATGATCAATATGAATACAACAACCGGATCATCATCATCATCGAAAAAAACTTCCATTTGAAATTTGTATTTTTTGTATTTTCATTATCGAATAAAATTTTATCGAAAAAAAAATCGTTATTCAAAACAATCCAAAATTCATTCAGTTACGTACTCGATGAAAGGTCAATTACAATAGCTATTCGAAAAGAAGCAAAAAAAAAATTCAAATTGGTTTGTTTATTTTTTTTTTTCGTTCGAGCAACATATATTTCGATGAATCGATGACAACTTTTTTCAATTTTTCATTTCGTTTCATTGTGGCAGACTATCGTGGAATATTGTAACTGAATTTTCAAAGAAAAAGAAAAAAAACAATGAAAACGTCATCAATTGATACTGGAGTGGATTTTGAATTGTTTCAAAAAGACTTACAAGATATTGAATTGGATTTTTTTCCAAACGTTGTTTCAATATTTAAAATATCATCCTATATTAGAAAATTTGGTTATCTATTTATGACCAACGATGATATTACCTATGCATATGATGATGTAATATGCAATTGGTTATCGTTACAACATGATCCAAAACGACCAAAACAGATTGAAATTTTGAATGGCAAGAAAATTATTCAAGTTGATTCCGGTGAAGGATTCGTTGTCATTCTAACTGATGATGGATTAGTTTATCTTGCCAGTAATAAAAATTCACCTTGGAAAACGAATAATAATTTACGATTAATCTCTACCGGTAATGATCGTTTTGAAATGATAGCATGTGGATGTATTCATTTTTTATTGTTACGAAAAGATGGAACTGTTTTCGCTTTGGGTGATAATTGTTATGGTGTATTGACCGGTAATTCAGATTCACATATTACTCTTGTGAACACTCGTTTGAATAATGTCAAAATAATAGCTTGTGGTGGATTTCATAATCTAGCTCTCACCAATACGAATGAAATTTATTCCTGGGGCTATAATAACTATGGACAGTTAGGTCTAGGCGATACAAATAACCGAACAACACCATCACTTGTTTCATTTCCTGATGTTTCGATTAATAGTAAAATCAAAAATATTGTGGCCGGTGGCAGTCATTCATTATTTTTATGGGAGGATGGTCAGATTTTTATATGTGGTTATGGTAAACAACCAAATAATGATAATGAGCAAAATGCAAAAGTGCCGACAAAAATACCTATTGAAAATGTGCAAAGTATAGCTTGTAAGAATTATCTCTATTTTTCATTGGCTTTAGATCAGTCATCACATTATTATAGATGGGGCAAAGTAGAAGACGAATTGTTACCGCCAATAAAATTGGATGGTAAACTGGAATCATTTGCTGCAGCATCAGTAATGGTAAATAAATCACCAATCACTTTTGGCCTAACATCAACCATCTATTCATTCGAATCAAATGTTGCATTTTTCAATAATCCAGATAATTATGATATCCAATTTGTTATCGATGACAAACGTATATTTGCTTCAAAATGTCACCTGAAAAGATTATCAAAATATTATAGTCAAATGTTTACGGGTGAATGGCAAAAAAAAAAGAAAGTGACCATCAAAAATTATAGTTATGATACATATTGTTCATATCTGCATATGTTACATACTGGTCGTGATGATTATATCCGAATCAATCAATCCAATATAGAGGAATTTATTGATTTGGCCAATTGTTATGGTGATGAACGATTAATGAAACGTTGTCGAACATTCATACAAACAGATTTGAATGAACGGACATTATTTACTTATCTATCATTAATCAGTAAATATAAACTTGATGGAATGAATGATAAACTTTTCGAATTAACTATCAAAGATGTTTTACCGAAAAACAAAAACAATATTATAAAATTTTTGGAATGGTTTTACGAACAACAATCTTTTTGTGAAACGAAAGATTTGCCTCGCAAACGAAAAAAAGCAACCGAAATTAACGATAACTGAAAATGATTTTCTTTTCGATTCTCCTGATTGATACATTTGACTATTATAACATTTTCCTTTTTTTGTTTTGTATAACAATGTTAATCAAATTTTAAAAAAAAACTTTTTTTTTGTAATAAAGTATTATTATGGATATGCAATTAATCTCAAGTGTTGTTTAATCCAATTTTGGAAATCTGGCCAAAAAAAAAATAGATCCGGGATGAGGGAGATTATCATTGATGATAGAGATGTATCCAGAAATTTTTTTGTTTGTCTTTTTTTTTGATAAAAATGCACACAAATATAGATGGGTGTAAAGGTATTTTCAACCAATTATGATAAACATCAATCAAGTATGACCAGGTCCTTGGAGACTCTAATCGTTTCAATCCATTCTTTTTTTTGCTGTGTTGGATGAGTGTTTGCCATTGTACACACTGTTTGTCATTTGAGATTCTGTCTTGATCAGGATTACATTTTATAATTTGTTTGTGTAGCAGATCATTGTTGAATATTGTTTTTTTTGTTGCGATTGAAATTGAATTTTCAAGAAAAAAACAATGAAAAAAATACCAACTGATATTGATGTGGATATCGAATTATTTCAAAATGATTTAAAAGATATCAATCAAGAATTTATTACAAGCATCGTTTCAATTTTTAAAATAACCCAATTTTTCAAAGAGATAGGTTTTCTATGTATGACCAATGATGCAACTTATGCTTATGGTGAAGAAATATGCAAATGGCTATCGTTACAACATGATCCCAAACAACCACAACAGATTGACATTTTGAATGGCAAGAAAATTATA